TGCATGCAGATATTAAATAAAAAATAAAAAAAAATTTAATGTTTTGTAATGCAAAAATAAAATAAATAAAAAATTTTATTTTTACCTAATAAATCGGGCGTTACTTTTGGTGACTACTGTACATTTTTATTTCCTGGAGGAGGTCCAGGATATGGTGCACGAGGTTGTTGGACCTGATTACTGTTTGGATATATCGAAACATCTGCTGCAATTAGTTCACCAGTTGCAGAAGGGCTATAATGAACTAAGAGAAGAGTGTAAATACTAGAAAATGAATTATGCCGAAGATCAAACAGGCCATTTACACTCATCACCACCAACTGTTATTGGAGGATCATAAATAATACTGTTGTTGGGAACATTGAAAATACGTCGTAATAGCGCAACAACTAGGCCGCGCTCAGGATCACTCATGTCAATTATAAAAACCATCGTTTCTTCGTTGATATTTATAACCGGATGACTCTTGACGTTCAAGGAACTTATTGTATTCTTTTATTGTAATCTTCGAGCCAATTTTATAAGGTAAGCTATAATCCATGAATGTCAAAATCAGAAGGATATCAATATTGAAATATTTTTATGTGCGATACCCATTCACCTGTTCTCGTCTAACTGATCTGGAAAATGAGAACGATGTGGTTGAAGTAATTTCACAAAACTATCTAGAACTCTTTATGATAAATTTATTTGATCTCAATGTTACACGATCCGATTCCAATAAAAAAATTATTTCACTAACGTTAAATCGATTCATAATTATTCACATGAACCTATGCAACATATAATAAACAATATTAAATATATTGGTTGTATATATTACAGGTCGTAAAGAATCTTCACAAACCATTTTTATTGAAAGAAATAGAGATTCGCAATTAAATAAAGTCTGACGTTTAATTTATACCAAACAGAAAACTTTTTAGTAATACAGAAGGTAATAAACTACTGGGGTGTATACTATCGGTCTAATTACAAACATAATGCAGGTCATATAGTAAATTCTAATAATAAAGATTTTTTATAGATCAATGACGATAATAGTAAAATATATAATAAAATTCAAGTCACAATAACTTCTGAACCAGCAAATAAAATTGCATTTGTCGGGCTCGTTTTAACATGCTCTTTAAAGTAATAACGCCTTTTCATTGTCTGGCAGACTCTCAATTTCTATGCAAAGTTCTCGTTCTTGATGCATTTTTAATAAAAATATCAAAAACGCAACATTGAAATTTCTGTTTGTCGCCGTTACTTTGTGTGTAACACAACAGATCTCTTATAAC